CCCGGCCCGCCAGGCCTCCCTGCTGGCCCCGCTCTCAGGGCTGGGCCAGGCAGCGCAGGACCCGGGGGATAATCCGACCCAGCGTCGAGTCCAATGCATCATCCTCCCATCGTGGGCGCAGGATCAAGGACTCCAAATCCCCCATTCTGTCAACTCCCCCCTCCCACGACAGGCCCTTAAGGAGGCCGCTTCCCTCCCTGCCCACATTCAGAGATGCTAGGAGACTCAAGAGGAAGCAGATCTTTAAAAAAAAAATTGCAGAGGCAAAACTCCCTGCAAAAGGGAGAGAAAAAAAGGGACTTTTCGTTCTAGTCAGAACCCGCCACTTGGATGAGTGCAGTACAGCAACTGGTGGCTTTCACAGATGGCAGGAGCTCCTCCTTTATTTTGACACAACATACATTTAATTGACAGCCCCGGGAGCATGCATGTGAGCATCAGACTGCCCTGGAGAGAAAAGCAGAAAGGGACGAACTTAAGTGCTGAGAAAAATGAAGAACTCAAAGCAGGAGAAAGATTCGAAAGGGAAGATGAGAGAAAAGGAAGTCGAGATGGGAGTGGACAAGGAAATACAAAAACACAATAGGGGAGAGCAGAAAAAGCATTTCAAAGGACTGGATGGAAACAACCGGCCCAAGCAGGTAAAGGCCTGATTCTATGTCAATGAGTCTATTTGCAAAATAATTAAGTAGTTATTACCCACTGTAAATAATGGTAATAGAACTGGGTCTGAAATAAACTGATAACATTCATTATAAATAATGAAAGGAACTGAAGAAGAACTCTGAATTTTATCTGAATTACATTATTTCAACAAAACAGCAACAATTTTTTTTTAAAAAAAGTCAAAATTCAACTTCCCGCTACTGCCAAACTACTGACCTGCTTCTGCAGTTTCTTCTGTATAAAATATTCTGGGATTTAGTGCTTACTATTGAAGCATGTTGTATTTTATGAACTACACAAACCGCGAAGTCCAGCTATGCAATCAGCACAGCTCTCTGACTCAGCTGGGGAAAGTCCCTCCCTTTTGGCTCACCTGAAAAAGAGAGGTTTCCTGCAGAGCATCTGGCAAATGGTTAAACCGGTCCTCTGGCTTACCACAGTTAGTTGTCTGAGAAACAGATCTGTTATTTTAAGGCGGGAGTGGTGTGACTCAGAAACCACTATATAGAATGCACTCAGAGTGATTTTTTGTGAGTGACAAGGCAAAGATGGATAGATGCATGGTCTCTGGGTAGGGCCCTGTTTCCCCATGCTCCTCCAACATACAATAGAACCTCTGAATTATGAACCCCAGAGTTACAAACTGACAGGTTAAGCACCCTCCTCATTTGGAACTGGAAATGTGCTATAAGGCAAACCACTATATAGAATGCACTCAGAGTGATTTTTTGTGAGTGACAAGGCAAAGATGGATAGATGCATGGTCTCTGGGTAGGGCCCTGTTTCCCCATGCTCCTCCAACATACAATAGAACCTCTGAATTATGAACCCCAGAGTTACAAACTGACAGGTTAAGCACCCTCCTCATTTGGAACTGGAAATGTGCTATAAGGC